TAAAGATAATTAAGAGAAGACCGCTTCCATGGCATGCACCCTCCCCGACCTCAATCCTTTGAATTTTTATCTAAAATAATTAAGAGGCATTAATAATGAAGAGACGCTTCATAAACATATCATGGGGGTCTGCGAGGCGATTCGACGCCGTGTGGGAGTATTTGCAAGTGTCCGCCAGTCAATGATCCGACGGGTGCATGCGTGTGTAGAAGCAAGTGGAAGACATTTTGAACATTTATTATGAGTTGCTGTGTTGAGGTACAAGACATATGTTTATAAGGACATTCTACCTTGTTTTGGTGTCAGGAACCCATCCCCAAGTTTAAAAAAAAGTATTCTTGATATACCCTGCATATATATATATAAGCGTGTGACGTCACGAGCTGCGACGCGATTTTCCCTTCCGCGTCTCGTATATACTAGTCAGTCGTTGCTTTGAAATTTTTCATGCAACAAAAACAGACTATCATTATTGTTTCGTCCGTGTATTGGTTGATATATTGAATAGTAATTGTCATCTTTGATAATGGCTTATGTAAGCCGAAAGCTTAGATAGGATTAAAACATGTATCAATAGGGTGATTTCCTTTCGTATTTCAATGATAATGTTATTACGCTTATCAGACAATATGAAAAGAACTCACTTAAAATAAATAGACAAAGCTTGTCTATATTATTTAATGAAACATGCATCAATGAAAATTTCTGCCTAAATATACACAATATATATATATATATATGTGTGTGTGTGTGTGTGTGTGTGTGTGTGTGTGTGTGTGTGTGTGTGTGTGTGTGTTTGTGTGTGTAACGATTCTATTTCGTTACATTTGTTAATGTCTCTGATTTCTAACAGCCTTTACAATTTCCTACCGCTAAAATCTGTCAACTATATTTAATAATATATTTTCTTCTAATTAGCGTAGTAAGGAAAAACCATTGCAATAAAAAAGTGAAAAGGAAAAACCATATACAGAACATGTGGTGTTAAGAAGAAGTTTTCAGAAAAATAGCAACAACGAAGCTGATATTTATCATAAGAAAAATCTGTTGAAATTTCTAAAGAGAAAAAGAGGGCCTAGTGATTTTAACAATGAAAGGAAATACTGAAAGCACGTTCCCAGACAACTGTTTCTTGGCAGACACTATAATGGATTACAATCATATGACAGAGACTGTTTCATGCTAAACGCAATCGTCAGGCTATATATATATATGTGTATATATATATATATATATAAAATTTTATATACATATGTTTATACACTATTTACATTATTCGGACTACTGTCCTCATCTTTGCCGCCATATTTATTACAACGTTTCGGCCGTTGTACGCTCCGGCCTTCTTCAGGTGGTTGAAATGTCGAACTGAACCCTTTATTTTATAGACAGATACATATGTTTATGGAGGAATTGTCGGAAGTAGTTTTAAATCATACCCTAATCCTAATATCTACATCTATATCTATATCTATATCTATCTATATGTATGTATGTATGTATATATATATATATATATATATATATATATATATATATATATGTGTGTGTGTGTGTGTGTGTGTGGATTCTACTTCGTTAAACGTCTGTTGAAATTTCTAAAGCACATAATCAAGAAAGAAGGTCTAGAGATTTTAACACACACATACACACACAGACACGCAAAAAGTAGGAAATGGAATTTGAATGTGGCGCGCGAACTGGATGTAGTCGAACATTACGTCACTAGATGACACGAAATTATTTAGTTTGCTACGAAGTATGATTGTGAGCGGACTGATTTATTTATAGTGGCCTTTTTTTTTCTGGTGTCTGCAAAGCAGGTTTGGTTTTTGGGGGGGGTGGGGGCGATGATCAATCAATTTTTCTTTTTTCCTAAAACTGCTGTTGAAATTGTTGTAATGTTTCGAGAAGCTTTTAAAGAAGAAGTTTGAAGTAAAACACAAATATACGATTGTTATTCACATTTCAAACAAGGTGAAGTGTTACTTGGAGACCGACCATAGTCTCGCCGTCCTTTCCACAAGGCGAAATCATGAAAATATTTCAAAGGTCAACACGCAGCACGGGTTTCTTTTGAAAAAAAAAAAAAAAAAAAACTTTCAGTTTTTTCATCAATAATCCGAGAAGGTTCTTTACTTACTGTGTGACAATTTCAGATTTTGATTTTCAAGAGAGACTCATTCCATTTAGTCTGGCGCAACACAATCTTTCTATCGCCATTTCCTTCTACCAAGAAATATTTTAAAAGATTTTGCAATAACTTACCTCAAATTTGGGGTGAACCATTTTCCGTCAGGTTTTTTCCAGAATGGGCCAGAGACCCTTTCTGTGTTCACGTTACACTGAGACGATATTTGACACACAAGCTCACCTGTGCTTCCGACCCGGATAGCCAAGGATGAGTTGGTCTTCGACAAGACTAGTCTACAGTCAGATCCTTCCGTTAACCCTGATTGAAAGAGAGAGAAACAGAGAGATGAATATGGAATAATGCATGCTAACAGAAAAGATAAATTAGCTTAAGTTCCTTTGGATCTTACTGAGAGGTGTGGCATGTGCACTGGGCAGCGCACGGCCTCCATGTAGCGAATACAACACGGAAGATACCAATTTACAACTCAAAGCTTAAAGTTAAAAGTCTAACAATTCCCACCATTCAAAGAAGGAATTCCAATTCCGAATTAGCATTAACAAGATCACCTATCTATAAAAAAAAAAAAAAAAACAGAAGTTCTTAAAGTGGCTTTTGGAGACCCATTCCCAGGCACTTGATACCTTTGAGTGAATGACAGCTGGAACACAATCTACCAAGCTGCAGTCTCGGCCTTTCGCAAGAATGTACAGAAGAACAAAAACTGGTTTCAGACTAACATCTTCACGGTTATCAGCGCTAACTGAAGTGCACTGATCAGATTCAAGCGTGACCCTAGCCAGCAAAATTCACAGGCCCTGAAAGATGCTTGTAACAAAGCCCAGGAAACTGAATGTCAATGTACAAATGATTATTCGCTCCAATTATCAAATAGCATTCAACAGGCTTCGAACACCGGCAGCATCGGAACATATACGAGAGCATCAAACAAGCAACTAGTAAACCAACAAAGAATTCTTCGCGCCAACAGAGTAACTAACAAACAGATGAGACGATATGTAGAGCACTACCTCCAACAATTTTACTCAAAAGAAAATTTAGTCATTAAAGAAACTCTTAATGATATTTAGGGTTTGCGAGTCTTGGCAGAACGTGATTCTGGACCAACAGTGGAAGATCTCAGCAAAGCCATTGATGTTCTCTCTAGCTCATTGCTACTCAAGCTGTGATACGCGTGCCGGTACGTGTGCCATCATCTGCCGGTACACGGAATGTCCCCAAGAAACAAAGAAAGAGTAGTCACATTCCACGCCATTAGAGACTGCCAGGATATATGACTCGCTTTTTTATATATATATATATATATATCTTCATCTTAGTTTTATATTTATTATGATTACATTTTTCAATTTTTCAATTACTCTCAGTCATTTCTATACAACTAACGAATGCGATATAATGAAAAGCAAAACAGTGAAGTAAAATACGTATGACAACACCATCCTGATGATGTGGCATGTGACTTTGTGGGAAGCACACATAGGAATACCAAAAGGCCATTTTTCATAGACAGAGCTTTCTACAAAATCAATATATAATAATAATAATAATAATAATAATAATAATAATAATGCAACTTTTATTATATTCATTATATTTTTCTGGTATAAATGAAAACTACGACGACGAATGTTCCAATATTTTTCTCAGGTTGTTATTATATAATTATATGGTACCAATATGATACCGGTCCCTGGAAAACCTGGGAAGACTTGTTACGTCAATGAATAAAACACCATGTCCTCATGTTTAGCATAGACAGTCTCAAAATGACACTGAAATAGGATATATCTAAAAAAAAAAAAAAAAAAATGAATTTAAGCGCAGTACTAGATTGGCGGCAAGGTTTCATCTTTTTACATTTGGAATGTCTATATGCAACCGTAACTTCTATGCTAACAGTTTCTTCTATTGCACTTTTGGTTTGTGGAACTCTCTTCCGGTTTCCTGCTTTCCAGTCAACTTTAAAAACGTAAATGAAATGTCAATCGTTATCTTCTTAATTCTTGTTCTTTTATTGTTCTCTCTCCTTAATAGTGTTTTTTTTTTCATATTCTCTAACACTCAGTAACCACTGCGTCTTAGCGACTCTATTGCCTTGCTTGGGGTGAAATGATTAAAAAAAAAAGAAGTAAAAAACAAAGATGGGAATATCAAGTAATACAAATAATAATATAGACGATGTTTCTTCTGATTGTTTTTGTTTTTTTTATTTGGGGCGTGTGATTTTTATTGCTTTATCTTGGCAACATGTAATGGTTTCAAGGGCTTTCAATATTAAAATAATCTCGCCAGCTTCTAACAATAAAGTAAGGAAATCTGTCAAGTGATAGTAAGCCGTTGAGTATTCTGTTGATTGGTAAAATAGGAAAAAAGCATCGTCGATGTGGCGATGGAGGAAGAGGATTAAACGTTCTGTTTCCCGACTTGAGTGCAGATAAACCATTTCCTATTTACTTGAATAAAAGAAATTCTTAATGTATTGTTGCCTTCATAGAAGGAGAATAAAAACTGTTTAACAATTCCAAGTGTTTCAGAAGTGATAAAGATTGTCACTGATGTAAGGCTTAACAGCAAATTTCACACAAGTATTTGCAAGTATGTCTTAAATGTTCGAACACAACAGCCTAATTTACTTATTTTATGCTTCAAGAACATTCAGAACGTAAGTGGTCATGGCTCTCCACAACTTCGCGTCTTATGTTACTCAAAGTAATTTTTACCCGTTACCATTCCTCTTTACACTGTCCTGTCCGCCATTCAACTTTTTTATACGCCAAGTCCATTCGATCTGTAGGTGATCATAGCTCTCCACGACTACCTGTCTTTTGCTCTAAGTAACTTTTTATCCATTACCATTCCTCTTTTTTGCCCGGTTCTGTCCGCCATTCAACTCTTTTATATGCCAAGTCCATTCGATATGTGGGTGATCATGGCTCTCCACAACTTCCTTTCTTTTGTTGCTCTAAGTAATTTTAACGCGTGCGTCAACGAAAATTGCATCTTTTTTCTCCTTTTTCAGATAATAATAGTAATATTTATCTTTTAGCACTCAACAAAATTTCGAAGTAAGAAAACTTGTATTTTTCCAAGTAAATCTATTAAAAAAACATGAGAAAGACTTTACTTATTCTTTATCTTACCTTTCTGTCGGATTCCAATTCATATTTGATTTACATTTGACCCCAAACTCACAATTTTATTCAGCGAAATAGATAAAGACCTACCCGATCTGAACGACCAAAACGGCGGGAGAGGCAACGCCAGTCGGATTGGACGTAACCAAGGCGGACCATGACAAAGCATCCGACAACGAGATTGAAACAGGTTTGCATGTTTCAATCCCCTTTGAGCCACGAGAAAGGCATTTTTGGCCAAGTGTGTGTGCTTCTCCATCGCGCAGAGTTGGGCACCAAAATAAAATTCACACGAATGGCATCTTCAAACTCTTTCTGATTCACAGCCATCTATGATACCACTTGTCCCAGGGGAGAGAAAGGAAATAGGGAGAGAGGATGAGGATGTTGATGCTTGGATGCGAACAGATGCCGACAACTGTCTCTAGTGTCTCCAGTTACAACCAAATAATAAATAATACTCGTTTTGTTCTTTCCACGTCTTGCTGTTTCTCATTTTCACGAGTAATATCTATATACAGGGTGTATCAAAAATACTTTTACAAACTTTGGTCGCGGGTTAATTACACCAAAACAAGGACAAAGTTTGGATGATTCGGCTGTCTTCGGTCTGGAAACGCAATCTGATACAACCGTGCAGCCTCGTGTCCATTACCATTCGCGTGGCCGTATGTAAAAATATGAATATGAATATCCTGCCATTGTTAAACGGAACACTTCTCAGTTCTCACAGGTTAAACGTTGAAGGCAGACTGGCTACAAATGTACACGAATGGCAAATGTAACCTAGTCTACATGGCAAGACAGTGCCATCGACCGTAAACTTTTTTTTTAAACTTAATAACTCAAAAATAAAGGATTTGCAGACATATGTTTATATGGACTTTTGTTGTTTTCTTGGTGTAAAGAACCGACCCCAAAGTTTGTAAAATTATTTTAGATACACCCTGTATAAATGTTAGAGGCTTTATTATTATTAACTCTTTTACAACTGTTATAAAAGGCGCGAAATATGTCATGTTAGTTTGCTATGTGTTTCAGGCGAAAACGCTGACTCATGCATACGTTATAAGAAAATATAAAATTTAATTAAAAATAATATTAAAATGTTTAACCAGTATCGAATTTGCTATTATTTCATTTAAGTATTATCCTAGATAGAAAAAGTGATATGCTAAAAAAACAAAAGAAACTGATTTTTCATTAATCGAATTGTGTTTTGATATCATAGCAGATCCAATAATTCTTTTGTGTAATTTATGTTGAAATACATTTAACCATTTTAGCGCGTTTTTCCTTTAAAGAAATAATCACTTGTGTTTCTGTTTTTACTCACTCTCACTATCTCTCGGGATCCCCTGGGGGGTATCTATCTGCAGAACAATTTCTAGCCAATGATGATTTTTTTTCCTTAGGGAAGATGCAAGTTAGGATACCAACCCAGTTTGCCAAAATCGCTGTCTCTTCGAGCTGTCAACTATCTTTTCAGTTGTCTTCTTCTTCTTCTTCTTTTTTTTTTTTTTCATGTTACGTGTCCCCTCAGGACGTCGACGATCATAGCTCTCCACAATTTTCTGTCTCTTGTAGCTCCTAATAAATTTTGTCTTTTTGCCATTTCTCTTTGAACCCTGTTCCGCCACCCATTTACACAAGCTCATCAAGTTTTCCTTTGTCTCTCTTGCCCTCAATGTGGCCGTTGACCAAAACTATCCTCTGGCCGTTATCTAGTCTGTTTCCAGAAGTCGTTGAACTATTCAAATTTCCATTTCATTAAATTAATCTTTGAAGAGACATAATACATAAAAGAAAAAGATTCCCTATTCTGGGATCTTTTAGCATAACCATGAACCTGTAGACCAGTTATGGCCAAATTGCGGGCTTCGGACTAGTTATGGCCAAATTGCAGACCACGGACCAGTTATAGCCAAATTGCGGACTACGGACCAGTTATGGCCAAATTGTGGACCACGTACCAGTTATGGCCAAATTACGGACTAGGGACCAGTTATGGCCAAATTGTGGACCACGGACCAGTTATGTCCAAATTGTGGACCACGGACCAGTTATGGCCAAATTGCGGACTACGGACCAGTTATGGCCAAATTGTGGACCACGGGCCAGTTATGGCCAAATTGTGGGCCATGGACCAGTTATAGCCAAATTGCGGACTACGGACCAGTTATGGCCAAATTGTGGACCACGGACTAG